GTTTGCTGTTATTTACAAGTCTCTTGCATGCAGGGTGAGCCAAGCTCCCACAAATTATAACTCACAAAACCCTATGCAGCTTGGCATGGCAGCCTCTCAAGGAGCTGATGGCTGTCCTGCTTTTTGCTGCAAACACAGGAAACCTTCAGGAAGGGAGAGCAGGGATCCTCAACCTTTTTGAGCCTGTGGGCACATTTGGAATTCTGACACGGCATGATGGCGTTGCCATGCAGCCACTTCAGATGGCACTATCAAAGACTCTTTTAATATAAAACTGCCTTGCCGGACTGTGAAGAGTGTGTGCCAGGGCAATGGACAGAGTAGTGGTCCTAGTGAAGTGCCCTATGATGGACTATGGGCTGTACACTGTGGCCAAGAGAAGCCTTGTGCCCTAAACACATGTATCGATCAAAAAGGGGGCACCTTATTCACATGTGGTGGAACTGTGCCAGTACCAGAAAATATTGGGGAACAATATATAAAATTGGTTATGAATTAACATTTACTCCATGTAATTGCCTATTAGATTAAATCCCACAGCAACCATATGTATTGACAAAATCTGGTCAAATCAACTAAAATACTGTTCAATTGATACTGGAGCTCCCCAAACATCCAAATCTAAAAGAGAATATTTAGACAAAACCTGGGATATAAACACTGTGGAAAAATTAGCTGAGATCAATGCTGGACAGAAAGGGAAGTTATCCAACCTCTAGCAGATGCACACCACTAATTTGTCACAAGAAATATTGGCTTGCGGTGATGGAAAATGTCATCAAGTCAAAGCTGACTTATGGCAACCCCGGAAGTTTTTCAAGAAATGTTCCGAGGTGGTTTGCCACTGCCTGCCTCTGAGTAGCAACCCTGGACTTCCTTGGCGGTCCTCCCATCCAAGTATTTGTTGGAAAAGAAGGACTAAATGCGGTCTCTTAGCCTCCGCCTTGGGGGGGGGGGATGTTAAAAGAGAGTCAGGTAGGCAGGCAGGCAAATGGTGAGCATCCTTCCTGCTTACTCTTCTACCTCTGTCCCTTTGATGTGTAGACTGTTTCAAGCATGCTTGTATTTTAAGTTAAAAAAATAATATATTTAATTGTGTTTGTCTGTGACCTTTATGAAGTTTATATCAAACCACTGAACCACACTGGGTCTCAATAAATAATATAAATTTCTGCTGGAAAATGGTGTAGAAGGAACCCTCTTCCCACTCACAATGCACTGGCCTGTTCCAGTATTGCTTTTAGGGTTGCCAGGTGCTTACCTCATGCTGGTGGGGGGATTTGGGGGGGACTTCTAGGGGCGGATGAGGACGCCAGCAACTTGATGATGTCACTTCCAAGAGCGATGTCATCATGTTAGTGACATCAGGGCAACACTCTACCTCTTTGGCAAAACTCTATGGTAAAAATGGCTACAAACCATAGAGTTTTGCCCCCCAAATAGAATGGCGCCCCGACGTGATGATGTCACTTCCGACATCACGCAGGGATGTCTGTTTGGGGGTGGGGTTTCCGTGCCAGCCAGCTGGCTGGCAGTGGGAAAGAGCCCACAAAAGTAGGCGATCCCCCCACCCCCACCTGGGGACTGGCAAGCCTAATTGCTTTTCACTTCACCATCCTCCAAAACTGATGAAAGATTAAAACACATACCAGGAGATGCACTCAAAGCTCTCCTGTTAATCATGTAGGGTGACCCCCCCCTCAAATTTGTTAATTATAAGTATATTGACAGCACATCACTAAACAAATTCAGTCCTACCACTGCATGTGTATGGGCCTGGGAGCTGCAGCCAATCCCAGCTCCCTACCAAATGCGTTATGTAAATTAACATTTTGTCACATTTCTACTTAAGACATGCTAAGTGTACCCTTAAAAAGCATTATTATGTAGAAAAAGAACCTAAACAAAAGAACCACATTAGGATAATCTAAAGCAGGGGTCCCCAATCTTTCAGATCCTGCGGGAACCTTTGGAATTCTGACACAGTGTGGTGAGTGGAGCCACAAAATGGCTGCTGCAGTTTCCCTTCAGTCACAAAGGGAAGATTCTTGTGCCGTGGTGCCAGCTGCTGCCAAAGCAACATTTTTAAAATATCTGCGAAGCCAATCAAATCTCTGATGGCCAAATGGAAACCTTCCTGGGCAAAAGCTCCACCTGGCCCTGCCCGCTTTCTAAAAACACTTGGCAGACACCAGGAAAGGTGTCAGCAGATACTGTGGCACCCACAGGAAACACGCTGGGGGGCCCTGCTCCAAAGGCACAATAATGGTATAATTTAAACAAATCTGCAATTAAAAAGTTATTATAAAATATAGATCTATTGTAATTCAACAAATATTTAGCAGCACCGCACTGCACACTGCAGGAAAGGTGATAAAACCAGACCCTTTCTGTGGTTTGCCTGCAAAACCCCATGCTCTTCAGGCTTGCAAAATATGTGTGGCCGCTGTTCAATTAACGCATCTCCACTCTGTTTGGGGTGCTAAGTGATCTCCACAAAGCTGCTAAATAATAAATAACATTTTGTTTAAGATGGGGAATTCAGATAAAAGTCTCAAGGCGGTCAGCCACAACCCATTTTTATTTTTAGGGCCGCT